AGGTCATACTGCCTCCGTCATCAGGGCGATGAGTCATTGCTCTGATAATGGAGGAAACAACCATCTCTTAAATGTCGTTCATCGCCCTGATGACGGAGGCAGTATGACCTCTGAAACGTTGGTTAACATCGACCAGACTACACAGCGCAACAACCCAGAAGACAGAAATCTTCATACTCACCGCTGTGAGAACCTCAAGTCTTACACTTCTAGTGATGTTATCTTCCTCCAGTCATGAATATTGGTGTATTGATGTACTCAACAACAGTTAGTTGTGTGTGAGACTTCTTCTGGAGTGGGAGGAACCAGTATATAAATTAATAGACAATGATTTAAAAAAGTGATAATTCTGAATCACACAAATATAAAATTGAAGACATCTATTTGTCATTCTTAAAAATGTTTCTCTCACAGAAATTGAGGGGGGAGACATGTATATTAGATCTTGTGGTGAAAGAAATAGACGTCATCTCAGGAAGAGGCGGAAAAACCAATTGTTCAGTGAGAGTTGATAGAACAGGCTTTATAAATATAAAATACTAGTTGAAGAAGCCACTATCATTCATTTACCTCAAAACCTTCACATATGATCATATGATAGTGCAAGCATTGAGGTGTTGAAATATGCATAAAATTTTTACTTACATTGAATGAAGCACCCTTTCCCCTGTCCAGTTGGACATGCTTAGCTAACGTTGGCACACAGATTTGCAGTGAAATTTAAACACCCAACAGAGGATGTGTTACCTGTAAGAGGAACCTCAGATTATACTGTAAAATGTGAAACACAACAGGTGATGAGGTTCAGGTCGTGTTCCAGGTGACACTCCCCTTGAACGTGACTGTTATGGGAGACATCACGCTAGTGGCCTATCATGCACGCAACACACTTGGAGGAGTCATTTCTTCTGGGAGGCCAACTGGAATTAAAATTGCACAAATTCAATTTCATACAGGCTTCATCGCTGAAGAAGAGACTAGCCTCAAGTACACAAAGTAAGTACTGCGATAATTTTGATCTTTTTTACACACATTTTCTTTCATTTTACCAATCTTTATGTAAAGTTTTGTAATAATGTTTGTTTTTGGTGTATTTTGCAAACAGACTGTAAATGTGAATATTCAGGAAAAGATAGAAATGTGTGGCAAGAAATGTAACACATCTCATACTAAGTTAAGAATGTTACCTCTCATCTGAACCTGACGGTGTCTCAGACCTTGTACTTTGCACACCTAACAACAAAATTAACAAAATATGACCTCATAAGTTTCAATGAGCAAAGGACCCACTTTGTATTTGTATGTAGCTTAGTCAGTGTAGTGACTAGACTATAGTCTGAATGACTAAGGTTCAGTTCCTGGCAGGAGTAAAAGATTTTCTCTTAGCCATTGAGTCCAAACCAGCTCTGGGGTACACCCAGCCTCCTCTCCAGATGGTACTGGGAATATTTCCCCAGGGGTAAAGTGGACAGAGCGAGAAGCTGATCACTTTCCTCTACCTAGTTCAGAGGTTTAGAGTGGGTGGAGCTATACCTCCACTTCCCCATACGTCTTCATAGACTGGTGCTTGGTAAGTATGAGAGACAACTCTTCCCTTGTCGAATTTTTATTTATTAGAAGTAATTTTGCATTGGTTTTAATCTCTCTCCTGAGGACCAGAGAAATTTTCCAATAAAGACAGGTTTTAAAACAGAGCAGATTAAATTTGGGACATGCATGCCATCATTGAGTCCCCCAAAATTAGTTCTTTAGAAAACACTTTTTTTTGCCATTGGTTTTAAGTAGGTGTGAATGTTCATCTCTGATTCTGAGGGAAGGATGTAGATTTTGGTTTTCAGAAAAGAGTTCTGTTCCGAATATAAATATTAGATAAGATCATCTCTTCATATGTGCAAAAATGTAGTGTTTCATAATTTTAATGTCCTTAAAAATGTTACAGAGTGAACAAGTTATAATGAACATGTATAAATGGGTTTTCTTTTCTTTGTGGGTAACTTAAATGTTCATCATTGGCTTTTGGCATGTTAATTGAAGGAGTTGCTGTAATATGTGTTTTTACTGTTAATTTTCACGGGCCTTTGATAAACACATTAATGCTTATTTTGTCCGCCAAGAATCTGTATTCTTATAAGTGTGCACAGTGACTCAAGAGGTAACTGAGGTGGAATCTGGTGATTTCGATCTTAGTATCACAGTGCAAAGTTATTTATCTTTCTTGCTATATCCAATGCATAGGCTAGTTTATCAGATTTACTTACAGACTTGTCTTTCATGCTGCTGGAAGGGAAGGCTTTCTATTTACAGTTCTTTAGTGATGTTTGTACACATATTTGCCACGGGTTAGGACTGCATTCATGTTAGACACTGCTTGACTCTCCTCAGCCATATGCAGAAAGTAAGAGAGGTTGTAACTTCTTTGAAGTTACCCTAGATTTTGTGATCAGTATGTGTTAAATTTGTTATCCTGTTCAAGATTTAAGAGGTAGAAAAAGTTACTCAAAAGTACAGTTGTATCATACATACAAAAGCAGGTAATTACAGGAAAAATATACGTGAAACTATATTTTGGAATGTAAATGTAGATACTTTTAAATTTGTGTGTGCAGATCAGATCTAGATGATATTGGTGAACAAGACCACTATCAGGAGAGATTTACTGCTGTTATCAATATATTTGTTGCTGAGGATGAATGCTGCTCAACCAAACAACCTGCTTGGACAGGACACGCTGCCCGCAATATTTTGCCTGACTGTCTGTTTTCAGCCCGTATAGAAAAGGATGAGAATTTTGACACATTTGGTAAGTTTCAGGAAGTACATGAAAAATATTAAGCGATCGATTTTGAATCGTACGTTTTTGGCACGGATTTGTGAGTAAGGATTGCTTAGTCTGGCTGGATGACTGGAGTTCAATCTGTAGCAAAGACACATTTTTCCCTTTGCCACCATGTGCAGACCGGTTTGGGTGTCCTCCCAACCTCTTCTCCAGTGGGTTCCAGATGCCCTTACACAGGAAAAAATCAGCCAAAACATTTATCTTACTACTTACCTAAATGCAGTGCCAAATTAAGGGTGTGGAGCCTTATCTCCACTCCCTCGTACAGCTTCATAGCATGATGAATGAGCAGTGATGACTTTAGCCTCAATTTATGTTTATTTTGACAGAGGTTTGTTTCAGGTGAGGTAACTTGCTTCAGTCTCTTGTGGTCAAAATTTAAAGTCAGAGTGTTTTGGTCATATGTTAATTTAATCGTGTTCAAGAATTCAGAAGGTGTGTGCACTACACTTCACAAGAAACCTGGAAAGATAAGACTGAAATATATCACTTGACACAACATTTGGTGATGCAGCAATTTGCTCAGCGTGAGTTTTTGAGTGGGTCTGTCGTTTCAATGAGGATAGGTTTGTGTTGAAAGTAACAGTGATCTTGTCATCCTTTCACCATAAGAAATATTGAATCTGTGCTTGAAATGTGTGATTTATTGTGAAATGGCATAATACTGTCTGTCAGTTTTCTGAAGAGATAAGAATTTCTTACGATTTACGTCAGGCCACTTTAAAAGAAAAGATTTTGGAATGAAACGTGTTTCAGCTAAGTTCATTCCACTAGTTCTGATACAGTTAAGAAGAATAAAAATGCTTGTCTGTGACTTCTGACTTGCTTCAGTGTCCACAAGTCAATGATGATGTCTTTGATAATATCAAATCAGGTGATGAAACATAGGTTTGTTTACAAGTGTTGGGATGTCACCATGATGCATTGCTGCAGAAGTGATTCCAGCAAGTGGCAAAGTTACCGTGACAAATTTTCTTGTCTGCTCTGCTCTGCTTATGCAGCACATTTAGCGCAACACAGTATTTCACAAGTCAGACAACTTCCTGCTCACTGCATTCTGCTTCATGTGACTTGGCTGTTCCCAAAATTTTGAAACTACCTTGAAAGGCCAATATTTTATGATGATTGGAAAAATATAACCGAGTGCAGCAAAACAGCTGTTCATGATTATGTGCGAAGAAAATTGCTTTGAAGGGGATTAACTTACAGTACGGTCTCTTAGTTATCATATATTCAGCCTTCTGATAGGGCCTCTTCTGTAGCTTGAAGTTTAGTTGTGAGTCTGGAGGAATATGAGATGAAATATTCATGTGCTATTTTAAGGTTTTATTTTGTAATTTTTTATTATAAACTTCTGCTTGGAGAGTCACTCCTTCATTAGGGTTTTGCAATAAATATTCCACATGTGCAGAGTAGGAGAGTTAAGGTCGAAGTCTTCCATTGTGCAGCACTTATGTGTGTTGTATTAGAAACTGAGGTGAGAGACGTGCTGTGCCATTTTTATTCATTACTATGCAGTGATCAGCATCATCGTTGCCTTTATTAAATAATTTAATATCCTTTGGAGCTTTGGAAGAATTCATGTAAATAAGCCCAGAATATGAATAGGTGGTGTATGAGTTGCAAGAATCTTCTTAGATGAAAAAAGTATGTCTTATTCCTGACTTCAGTGAGCCATCCGGCTTCACATGGTTCTCCTGTACCTGCAGCACGACCTACCAAGCCCCCACAAAGGCCAACTCCACCAACTCTGTCCAGGGAATACAGGGATGAAGTTTCAGATGAACAAGCGACACAACACAGGGTAAGTACGTGCTGGAATGTGACAGAAGGGGCACATACAACAATTCCATAACCCTGATGTCTTTCTTCCCCAGCCTAATTACCTTCGTTGTCATGATTTAATTAAAGTTTGTTAGTGTTATGCGGTGCTGATCAGTTTGTTGGTTGTACTGTAAATGATAACCCATTTACCACAGCTAAAGCAGTAAGGTCGAATGTTCCTTGCCGCACAAAGTGAACTGGAATGTGATGTATGTAACAGGCAGTGATAGGAAAGGTGGGAGGGGGAAAAGAGAGATGGAACTTCTTTTGTGGTAATGAAGGTACATTCAGTTTAACACATACTATAATAATTTACAAAACAGATGAATAAATTGAAAAACTTGCATTGTAATATGATGTAGTTTTAAAGGAAAAACCTGAAGATGATGCTACGCATCGAAACATGTAGTAAATGAAGGCGCAGTATTGTAACATCGTAGTAACGATGAATAGCGCAAATTTTAAATTTTAAAATCTGTAAATAAAGTTTGTGTATAGACCTGAATTATATTATATATTTTAAGGTACATTCAGTGTATCTTTATGTTATATTGATATTTGTTGTACAATCATATCTGTTTAAATCCTGGTAGATTTGTCAGGTTAGGTTAGGCCTTTTAAACAAGATTGCGGCAATGAAATCTTCTGTGCAGAGCGTCTACTGAGTGATTAGAGCATGTTACATGCAACTTTTCCTTTTAATAGGTGAATCCTGAAGAAGTGGAAGATCTTTTGGACAGTGGTAGTGATGATACACCCACTTCAAGACGTGTTCCACCCCCACAGGAGACAGAAGCTACACTTTTGGATATAGGAGGTATCAGTAGAGGAGGATTTAATTCAGCAGGTTTGTCTTTACACTTATGTAGTAGGTTTTATAAATGTGAAGAACTGTCAGATGCATGATAGATAAGTAGTTAACTTATATCAACCTTGTGTCATTGACTACACACGATCCAGCTAGGCATGTGTCACAGTAGCTCACTGCTAATAGTTAAACCCTGCGGTTTGAGTCCAGCTGGTAGCCCCTTAGTTTGTTAAGGTAATTGTAAAATGAAATTGAGAAAAAGATGGCCGCATTTAATCTATATTTCTAGTCTTATTTGATTGTGGGCATGTGAGTATGAGTGTCGTTTGTAATATGCATCAGGACATGATTGATTGTCTTTGGCGTAAGAGCTAGACAGTTCTTTGCCATAAGGGTTTTTGTATTTTAATGATGAACAAAATAATTTTAACATTTGACAAATTCCATCACTATTGGAATTTCCTCCGTCCTGCTGTTTGAAGCTGGCCAGTTGAAGGAAAGACTTCTGCGAACACTTTGGATTGTTTTGCTTTCCTTTTATTTTCTGATGCCTCATTTACATTAAAAAAAAATTACGTTGTTTGAAGACCAGTCAAGAGGCCCCTCAATTAGGACTGAGAGTGGGATGTTGCTTTTAGTTTTCTTGCTCACAGATGTCACTGCAAATTTGAACCCTCAGCATAGGCAAATATTTTAAGCATGGTTATGAACAATAAACATACATTTAAACCAGGGTCACATTGTGTCGTTTATCAAGTCTGCTGTGTTGGGTTTGCTGTTTGCCTTGGATGTGGATTGATCAGCACACAAGGCAAATGGAATAGCTACCAACTAACAGTTTATAGTAATAAATACAATTGAAACTGACCACTAAACAAAGATTTTGATATTCAAATTGCTTGCTGCCCAAGACTGGCAGTTCTTGGATGCAGTCATTACTGAGCTAAGAATTTATAAAAAGAAAACAGACCTAAGTTAAAAATAATCACCACACCAAAATTTCTAGGTGCCAAGATGAGCCCTACACTATGTATTTATTTCAATAAACATGAAACGAGCAGAACTTGAATGCTTTTGTAAACAGTGGATTATATGTCAAGGGGAATTGGATGCCCTAAGCTCTGTTGAGAGGGGCATCATATTCAACAGAGTGATGGAACAGATAAGGTCAAAACACTCATGCTGTTGAGGGAATGTTTTTAGTTTAAAACCTCTGACATTAACAAAAGAGTAAGCTTTCGTAGTAATAGTTCAACTATTCCCCCTGTTCTTACAGATGCAGACAGTCAGCAAGGTGACATAGATCTGCTGAACGTGGCTCCAAATCATAAGCCACAGAGCAATGTAGATTTGTTGGGTGCATTTGCTCAGCCAGCGTCCACAACCAGCTTTGGTGCAGGAGGATTAGGACTTGAAGATTTGCTTCAGGGAGGACAAACAAATAATCCATCTCAGGAGTTAAAAAATTCAGACCTGCTCTTCGATCCATTTGGCGGTACAAATTCTCAGGTATAAATGTACAACTTTATAGTTTTCTTTTATAAAAGGAATTAAAATAAATGTTTTTTTTAACTCTACAAGTATGTATGTATGTCTGATTTTTATGAAGTTTGTCATGGGAGACCCTTACTTGCAAAAATTATAAACATTGTTTTTATCATTCAGTTAGGACTAACACTTGAAGATGTGTCTCACATTAATAAAAGAAGTTTCAAATAAAAGTTATAGGTATCCATGAGATTAATTCTTTGTGTTGCGTATATATAATATGAATTTTAAGGAAACTTCTGATCAGGCAAAATATATGAGGGAGAGCAAGGATATACAGATGAAACAATAACACAAAGCGGTTCCTCCAGTCTGTAAACTTTGAATTAACTTTCATGTCATATAGCTGTAAATATCTGTTTTTTTGCTTCCATGAGTGCTGAAATCCAGATGCTATGTGGCCCCAACTTTTGTAATGTTTTGAGAATAAACTTGCTTGAAGATGGCTGCCTTTTGGGTTGTTGTGCCGTGTAGTCTGGTAGAAGTTTGCCGACGTTTCAGAGGTCCTTGCTGCTGTTGCCATAATGATCTGAGACAAAATCACTTCTGTGGAGTGCAAACTGACATGGATAAGTGTGGTTGACTCTGACAGCACAGAAAACCAATTGCAATGAGAAATAGCACAGCTGAGGATGCTAAATAGAGCAGGAAATGTCCTGCAGAGTTTGGCATGCTGCCACTCTTCCTGTTGCAAGGAAGGGGAATGTTTGAAGGTCATGCTACTTGCATCACCTGATGGCCAACATGTCTTCTTCACGTATGATGTTAAGAAGTCTACAAATGCATGTTGTGTATTCTCACATGTGGCATTTTGTGCTACCCAAATCAGTACCTCAAGTATGATGCGCATCTGGTTTGTTTCTCGCAAAAATCTATTGCTCTATCGTTGGGTTTATGTTCCACCTCTTTCGCTCACTCACTGTGTACGACTTCTTTGAGTAATGTGCAGTTATAAAATTGTCTCATATTTCAAATGCCTGGTTTTTTCCCCCCCAGAATTCTTTACCCAACTTTGTCTCCAATCATGTGGCTGGATCCCAATCATCAAACTTGCTTGGAGGTTGGGATGGATTTTCACGACCTGAAGGACCTGATCTTGCACCTTCTGGCACATCAATCCCCCGCAATGCCAGCACTCCCAATCTTGAAAGTAAAACTCGGGACCCCTTTGCAGATCTTGGTAAGTTGCCGACAGCACATTCGCAGGTCATTTGATGCTGCCATATGCAGTATTAACCCTGTTATATTATTGTAATGAGTATGAGAAATGAATGGATCAGATGACTCAGAAAGCAGGAGAACTCTGTGGAATTGTATATCATGGACATTACTGGAAGCCTGAACATATCATATGTATCTGTTCAGTGAAGAGGTTTGGAAAGTCCCCATTTCTCTTGGTATTTATTCAAATATAGGAGTGGGTCAAATTTCTGTATTGCTGAAGGTTATTAATACCTTTTGCTGGAATTCTTCATGCTTCTGAATGTTTGACTTTCCACAAGTTTGGCACTATGGAGTATATATATGTGTACTGCTTTCTGTAGTTTGTATTGTGAAAGTTCATTAAGTATTGTATTCTGTTTTGAGTATAAGTGGACAGTAAGTTTGGGGAGGAAATTATGACATCATTAGCTGACCCCCATCAGAACTAGGCGAACCTAGGGCTTCACCAAGGGGTGAAATGATCCCAGGAGCTTGCACTTTCAGGGTTCTTAATCCCCTGAGATTTTGGCCAGCAGGGCTATTTCCCTGAGAAGTAAATCCCATTTTTCAGTTTATGTATAATTCTTTGTGACTTGTAACGGCCATATACCAGCGAAGGGCTTCATTTTGTTTGAACATTGCATTCTTGATCACTTCCGTGCTGTGGCTTAGGTTCATTTTCTAATTCACTGTGGTCTACAAGTACCTTCATGTCAGTTTCTTCATTACTGAGAAAAATGTGCTTTTGGTTTGCACTAGCTTCCACCATCTTTCACACAATATTATGCACGGTAAAAACAAATGGAGGGTTTCAAATAATTCAGTAATTCAGTGTAGTGATCATAATTGTGGGTCTGAATCCCGCATGGAGCTACCACCTGGATGAGAGAAGTCCGGCTGTTATAACAGTACCAGGTCCAACTCTGTAGTTCATCATACCCAGAAAAAAATTAGTGAGATAAGCGGCAGAAGATGAAACTTGTCATTCTCATTGTACAAATGTGGAGCAGCAACAAGTGGTTATGTGCAGTTTTTGTGTTTCCCAGGTAATCTGACAGCTGGGTTAGGTGTTGGATCCACAAGTGGATGGACAGGTGGATCTAAGCCTACTACACCTATGAATGGAACACCAAGGGCAGGAAGTCCTATTAACCAAGGTTCTTCACCCCAGCACAGACCTTCCAGTTGGACACCACAGGTGAAATATAACTACAGTCATCCCACTTGGAGTGCCACACTTTGTCTATCAGCGCTATTGGTGTTAAAACAGGGTTCTTCATCTTCTTAAAGTGCCTATCCGTTCCGGATGTTGGCGATCAGCATAGCAATTTGAGCTTTGCTGGCTGCTGCTCGAAACAGCCCTCCAGTGGATGTCGAGAACCAAGTTTTTAGGTTCTGAAGCCAGGAGATTCTTGGCCTGCCAGGTCCCCTCTTTCTGAATACTTTTCCCTGGATTATCAGCTGAAGCAGCCCGTATCTATCACTATTTCTCGTGATATGACCGAAATACTCCAACTTTCTCTTTTTTATGGAGTTAACAACCTCGACGTCTTTGCGGAGTTTCTCGAGAACTTTTTTGTTGGTTACACGGTCAGTCCAGGAAATTCTGAGAATACGTCGGTACAAACACATTTCGAAGGCCTCCAACTTTTTTGAAGAAGCTTCAGTCAACGTCCACTTTTCAGCGCCGTATAAAAGCACAGAGAGAATGAAACATCTGAGTAGTCTTAACTTGGAGTTTAAGTTTAAGTCTCTACTCCTGAACATTGTAAAGCAGGGTGGGCAGTAAAAACAAACGCAAAAGCATTTGAACTTAACAACTTATGTAATAATACCATTTTATACTGCATTCATCCTCATTATAATCTAATGTTTTGAACCAGATAATACCAATATTTAGTGTTCAAAATTGGTCATTGATATGCTGGTCGAGTACTTTGTTCTTCAATGTCAGTTGCTGTTCCATTTTTACATTCATTTTGCACTATCCAAATAAATAATGTGTCCTCACAGTATTCACATTATACACCCTTCAGCCATTTTACACTTTCACAATTTCATTTCATTAATAAAATCTTCTTGGGCTATCAGCCGTGTCAGTTGATTGAAACTCGATGTTTCAGAGATCATCATCAGGATAGTGATGTCATTACGCCACATCACTATTGAGTTATAATCAGCTGACGCGGCTGATAGCCCAGGAATATTTTATTAACGTTTCATCACAGTGAAAGCTTCATATCATCCATAGGACTGAGCTTGACTCCCTCTTGCCTTCCCACGTCAGTATTTAAATGATGAAGAATCCTCATAAATGCCTCCTCCCAATTGTATATACTGAAGTGTATGATGAGGTACCTAAAAAAAAGATTTGGCCCTGTCAAAATCTTTTAATAATAAATGTGCTTGGAAGTTGTGGTACAAACTTGTTGGTGCCAGCTAATAATGATTTTTGTTATAAAGAATGACTAAGGCAAGGAGAATGTTGCAGGGAGGTGCACCTGGCACAACATCGCCCATGCCGGGCTACAGCACGCCTGTTGGCACGCCACACCACACAGCCAAGTCTCCAGCTCAAGAATCAGCTCGTGTTGCAGACTACAGTAGGGCACACTTTGACTCCGTATTCAATAAGCAACAGGACACAGCTGGTATGTCATATTTCTTGTATCCAGATTTCTTTCTCTCTCTCCCCCCCCCCCCC